CGCCCATCTCCATTGTTCATCTCGGAAATGGATACATTTGTAGATCCCCACAGGGATTGTGAGTCCGTGAGAACTTGTGCTGCAGACAGAGCAGCCCGGGCGCTGAGCTTCCGGGTAGTTCAGGAGCAAACCTGCCTCAGGTACCCTCAGTTCAGCTCGTTTCACCGGCTGGGGTGAGGCAACCTCAAGCCCTCGGACAGCCCAGCGAACCCCCTGGTAGCGCAGAGCTCAGCGCTGCATCGCCGGACCTGAAGACTGCTCAGCCTGGCTGCCCGGTGTGTGGTGGCCAGCGGACACATCTCAGTGCTGCCATGCGCAGTGTGCAGCGTCGCCCCTCCCTGCTCGGGGAGTGCAGAATTAGCACCTGCAAGTCTTCTCCGAGCCCCACACCTGCTCTGCGAGTCCGGAGATGCTGTGGACGTGGTTCAACGCTGACTATGAAGCGGCGAGACCAAGGTAGATGAGATCAAGAAACAAAAGTTGGTTTGCTTCGTCCTCAGGGTAAGCCAAACTCGAAGTGTCGGGAGAAAATACACCTTCACTTCTTTGATTTGAGGGTTCATCCTTTGCAATCAGGGCATCTTTTTTTGGGGAAGAATTCAGGTGAAAAGACAAGAGAAATGATTGTAGGCTGTGACGGCCACAAACAGAGCACTTTGGAGACCGACGACACCAGCAGTGTGCCAGGGCTGTGACACAAGTTTCCAAAAACAGAACTTAACTTAGCAAGGAAATAGTAAGAGACCTCAGCCAAGATGAAATTATTCTTAATATCAATTCAGTTAATAACATTTAATGAATGAATGCAATGAAAGTCTTAAAACTGTATTGGAGTGAACAACGGTAAGGGAAAAAGTCTAATTCTTTTTCCCATTTGCTTGGATTTATTTGTATTACAGTTCAACGGAAGAGTCAGACCTAAAGTCCTCTGAAGTAATTAAAGTCATCCGAGCTTCGGTATTCACAGTTGGTCTGCACAGAATGAATAATAAAAAAGATCATTGCAAAATCCACTGAGTTTCTTGGTATCTAAACAGATAAGGATATAAATATTTAACTGTACTTGAAGTGTATCTTACTTTCTAACGAGTGAAGCAAGGTAATATTTTCTAAATAAATGCTGCTGCCAGCTCAGTACTTAGATTTTTGTCTGTCGCAAATGTTTCCTTTTTGTTCTCTGCCTAAATTCTGACCTCTGCTTCGGGGTTTCAACACGTACCTTGATCAGGGAGCAGCTGCTGTCTTGGCTGTTCCTGTCTCTTATTTCCTAACGAGGCCCTTGACCTCTCCTGGCTGGCCTCTGTGCACATGCGGAAAAAAAGCCTTGAAGGTTTTTCTCCCGCTCTGTCATCCAGGAAGCACTTGTATTCTGACTCACATATTTAAAAGGTTACTTTTCTTTTCTTAAAAAAAAAAATGTTTAGGGCCCAGTGGCGTGGCCTAGCGGCTAAAGTCCTTGCCCTGAACGCGCCAGAATCCCATATGGGCGCCAGTTCTAATCCCGGCAGCTCCACTTCCCATCCAGCTCCCTGCTTGTGGCCTGGGAAAGCAGTCGAGGACGGCCCAAGGCTGCCTTTCAAATAAAAAAAAATTAAAAGAAAAAATGAAAAGCGACATGGAGAGGGGTGCTGAGAGACTATAAACTTGCTGCTAAACAGGCTCGCCCTCAAGAGCTGACAGGCTGTTGGGGAGATGATGTGGCTAGCTGGCAGGTTACTTAGTGACTGCGTGTAGGAGACCCTACTAATAGCTCCAGGAGCCGGGAGACCTTTCTAGGGGCAGGAGTTTGACCTAGAGGTTGTTACCCTCTGGGGCACCTGCATCCCTTATTGGAGTGACTGGGTTTGAGACCAGTTCTGCTTTTGATTCCAACTTCCTGCTCACAATGTGTGCTCTGGGGAACAGCAGGTGGCTCAAGCTGGAGTTGGTTCCCTGATACTCATGTGGAAGACTCAGACTGAGTTCTTGGTTTCTGTCCTTGGCATAGCACAACCCTGGCCATTGTGGCCAACTTGGGAAGTGAACCAGCACTTGGGAAATCCCTGTCTGTCTGTGTCTTTGAAATATATGAAGTAAGGTTGGCATGGTGGCATAATAGGATAATCCTCCACCCTGTGGCACCATATCCCATAGGTGGTACCAGTTTTGTGTTCCAGCAGCTCTGTTTCCAATCCAGCTCTCTACTTAGGACCTGGGAAAGCAGCAGAGGATGCCCCAAATCCTTAGGACCCAGCAGGAATGTGGGAGATCTGGAAAAAGCTCCTGTTTCCCAGCTTTGGATCGGTTCAGCTCTGGCCGTCATGACCATCTAGGGGGTGAACCAGCAGACGGAAGATGTTAGGTTTTAAGCGCACTTACAGTTCTTAAATTGCTACACGCAGTTATTTCTGCAGCCAAGTCCTCTGTTCACGATTAGTTGACTGCAAACCAAAATGCCAGACACAGCACGGTGCTAAGTAGGTCCCTTATTCCAGCGATAGAAATGGGAGCAGGGGTGGAGGGGGAGAAAACTGGAAGGGACACATCTGCCATGGTGGCAGGATGGGGGGAGCCAGGCGAAGGGAAGAGAGGGGGAAGGAGAAGGGAGGGGCCGCAGCGGCTGGGGACTGGGATGATCTGAGCCACAGGCAGGGGGCTGCGGGCTGGGGGGAGGGGCTGAAGAGACTGGGGAGTGGGATGCTCAGGTGAGGTGCCAGGCTACATCTGGTTGGTGGCTGTTCGGAATGGCGTGTATTTCATGAGCTGTTTAGGCAATGGCGCGGGGTACAAGATGGGGTGTTCCAATCGCTCCTCACAGAAGACCTCTCTCTTTCTCCTTATTCCTCTGTAAAATCTTTCAAATAATGATAAACACAAATCTTTAAAAAGGCCCAGCACAATGGCCTAGTGGCAAAATCCTCGCCTTGCATCGGATCCCACATTGGCGCTGGGTCTAATCCCGGCAGCCCCACTTCCCATCCAGCTCCCTGCTTGTGGCCTGGGAAAGGCAGAGGAGGATGACCCAAAGCCTCGGGACCCTGCACTGGTGCAGGAGACCTGGAAGGCACTCCTGGGTCCTGGCTTTGGATAGGCACAGCTCCAGCCGTTGTGGCGACTTGGGGAGTGAGCCAGTAGATGGAAGATCTTTCTTTCTGTCTTTCCTTCTTTCTGTAAATCTGTCATTCCAATCAAAACACATACATCTTTTAAAAAACCACCAACAAAAATATTTAAACATAAATGAAATAAATGAAGAGGAGTGAGCATTTAGCTTAGTGGTTAAGATCTGTACTGGGGTGTCTGCATGGGAACAAGTCCTGGCTCTGTCTGGTTCTAGCTTCCTGCTAAGGTGCACCTTGGGGTGCAAGCAGCACTAGCCCCAGTGCTGGGTTGAATTCTGGGTTCCTGGCTTCCTCCCAGCCCAGCCTGGGTTTTCTGGGGGCAGGTGGGGAGTGACCAGTGGATGGACATTCTGTGTCTGCTTTTCTCAGTCTGTCTTTCAAATAAATAATAAAAATTTCCAAAACTAAAAAAGTCCTTGTGTTGTGTCCTTGAACCCTACATTTCTCTCAGTTGCACAAATAAAGGGCCAGGAGATGTAACCGCTGTGTCTTGGTGGACTGCCAGCAGCTTACAGGCCACAAAGGAGTTGTGCTGTCTGCAGACACCCACTGATAAGAGAGCAGTTAAGCCCAGAGGGCCTCAGCCGTTTCTTGCCTGGGAGCACTTCTTGGGTTAACAAAACTGTGTGAAGCCAAGAGTGTTGCAACACGACTCAGGTCAGGGATGTCACATTCCCTTCCTGAACTTGCCTGCTCTTACTTGCCAAGCATAACTAAGAATTCCTGGGCCTCCCAGGGTGTGCTTGGCTCAATCCCTACTGGGGTTTGTGAGGCAGGACAGGTAGGGGTGGGGTGAGGAACCTTGGTCCCTGTTCAGAGATCTCTAACACCCTGGGAATTAATTACACTGTATTCGTGGCTTTGAAGGGACAACAGGAAATAAAGATTCTGCTTTGGTGAGCTCCAGCTGCACAACAGCCAGGGCAGTGGACGCCCATGACCTTGGTCCAGGGCAGTGGACGTAGCTGGGCCTCTTGCTCACATCATTTCTCTCCCCTTTCCAGGAAGTGTGGACTTGACTCTGTGCCCAGCTGGGTCGTCCACGTGACTCCTGCCCTTACCTGTGCCTATTTGCACCGGGGGCTCTGCTCTCCCAATGGCTTCAACAGGTGGGCCTCTGGCAGCAGAGGCCACGTGATCACCAGCTCCCTCCAGCGTGGGTCGCCCAGGACGCTTGCCCAAAGCAGGCGACCCCTCCTCACACTCCTCCTCTCTGTGGCTTCTGGTGGCCCCTCCCTGGCCTTTTGTGAAGGGTTCCTCTTAGTTTACTTGCCCCTGGGGTCAAAAGGTTCCTACGGAGGAGGCTGGGGGTCCTGGAGGATCCCTGGGGCTGGACGGAGTGTGCTGGTCAGTTAACTCCGGGTCAGTTGCGCTCCCTCCCTAGGGATCTGGAACAATGGAGAGGGAGACTAAAGGATGTCCGGGTTCCCCTTCTAGCACGGTGTGGCCGCGGGTACTGATTTGGAGCCTGCGAATATACCTATCTGCTGGAATGTATCTGCTGGAGCGCCCGCCAGCAGATAGGCGAGTGTTGGCCATCTGCGGCGACGACCCAAGAGGAGGGTTAGGAAGCGCAGCTGCGTGGTGCATCCAAGATGGGAGGCAGGGCCTGGGACCCAGCGGACGGTCGTCCCTTGGGCACCAGCAAAGGGCAGATCGCTTTCGTCCTTGCAGGAGAGTGAGCGAGGAAGGGAACCGGCCTGGGCACAGCAGCAGGTCTCGGTGCAGGAGTGCGCGCGTGGCTCGAACCCACGGCGCGAGGACCCGCCCTCTCCCCGCGTGGCTCGGGGCGAGGCCAGGGGCGGGGAGAATAGGCGGGGCTGTGTGATTGGTGCGCAGTCTCACGGCTCAGCCAATGGGCGATCAGGGCGTCTCGGAGGGACGGAGCGCAAGCCGCTCTTCTTAAGCCCTGTGACGCGCGCCGTGGCGAGTCTCCGCTCCTGCCTGAGGCGCCGTGAGGTACCGGCGATGGCTGGGGGAGAGCGGGGGCTCGGGGCGGCCGGGAGGGCCGGGCGGGCCGGGGTGGGCAGGGTTGGGCCGGGTTGGACGGGGGCTCGGGCGGGCAGGGGCGGCGCGGGCCCGGCTTTGTGGCGGGCGCGGGCAGGGGCGGAGGCCTCGGGCGGGTGCGGGCGCGTCCTGGCTGCTGGGGACGGCGAGCGCGGGCGCCCGTGCCGGCATTGGCAGCTCCGGGCCTGGCTGCTCCTCCCGCCCCCGGCTTACCTCTTGCCCTGGTCCGGGTGGGGACGCGGGGATGAAGGCAGGTGTCACGGCCCGTGGGCTCCCCGTGGAGTCTTCGACCCCGTTCCCTCCTGGCAGCCGCGTCGGCTCCTCGGGCCTCGCAGTCGCTTCCTGGCGTCCGCGTCCACTGTCCAGTTCGACGGAGGCCACGAATGTAGGGGGTTAAAGTGGCCGCTGGGAACCCAGGGGGTCCATTTCCACGTTCCCCCTACAGACCTGTCCTTCCGGGCCGCAGGGGGATTTGCAAACGTGTCCTTTGGATTCTGGGCAGAAAACTTTCTCTTACTCTGCTGGACTAAAACAATAGGCTCCTTTCATTAGAATATCCAGTTCTGTTTTTGCGAAAATCTAGTTCTGACTTTGAAAAAAAAAAAAAACAAAAAGCAGAGGAAGGTCGAATCTCGTGGCACAAGAGTTGAAATTGCCTGTTGTTTTGGGTTGTTTTTTCCCCCATGCTGTTTACTTAGGATGACTTGTGCGTTCTCTATTCTCTGCAAAGCCAGGATAACTAATGCAGCGTCTTCCCCTGCTCTGAGGGGGTCTTTAACGTGTTTCCTCCCACGGTCGCCCCATTACACTTGGCTTTTGTGAGTCCTGGAGCAGGGAGTGCAGGGGTGGTGTCGGCCTTCGGTTTTGAGCAGTGAATGGGCTGAGCCTTGGAGGTGTGTGGAGGGTGTGGGCGCGCTGACCCAGTCCAGTCTCAGTAGTAAGGCTTTGCCTGGCTGCTCCTGACGCAGCCTAGTTGAATTTTATCCAGAATAGTGATTACCTAATGAAGGGCGTTAGTTGGCAAAACATCTGAGAAAGGTCGGTATTTTGAATGGCAACCTCAAGAAAAATAAATATTTAACAATGGCAAAGTCAGATTTGCTCAGATTGAACGTGACGTTACACTGATGATTGCTGCAGAACAAATGGGAGGATTAGTGTTCAGCAGTGTGACAGTCTGTCATGGGAGCCCTTCTCACGGGGTGGGGGCTGGGGAGGGAGAGCTCTCTCATCTCTTCTTTCCGTTAAGTGTGAGCCAGCAAAATGGGTGATCTTGGCCTTGGAGGCTGCGGAATCTGAGCTTTCTCTTTCTCTCCCTCTTTCTCTCCCTCTCTCTCTCTCCCTCCCTCCCTCCCTCCTTCCCCCTTGCTCTTTCTTTTCCTCTCTCTCCCTCTCGCCCCTTCTCCACCCTCACATTCTCTCTCTCTGTTGAGCTGCCCTTAGTGGCTAAGGTTGCGTCAGACTGCAGGGAGGGGCGCGGGGTGGGGCAGGATCTCAAGTGGTGGCAGGGATCCAGCTGCTCAGCCACCTACCTGCTGCTGCTTCCAGGGGGTGCCGTTAGCTAGACCAGAGTCTGGGATCTGTCCCCGCCCCCCGACCCAGCGCCTTGACCCCAAGGCCCCCTGCGCACTCCTGAAGCAGCTGCTGCTGCACCATGAGTGGGTTAGATGTGACCGGCCGGATAGTGGCTACCCAGCTGGATCAGGGGCTGTCAGAATGACCATACTCTTTGTAGGCACATGTCAGATCTGGGTTAGGTTAGGACACAGTGGCTGTTACAGGTTGACAGCCATGACAGGTGTTACAAGCTGTGACAGAAGAGCTTAAGGCTCCCAGGAGTCTTTGCGCAGGGTGTTGTAAAGAGGAGGGTGAAAAAAAATCCAATGTGTGTAGTTTTTGTGCCTAGAAAGCTAGGTTAGTTTTTTTAAATATGAAATTTTAGGTAATTGCTGGTCTCTGCTAATGCTTTTAGCAGTAGGTAAAGAGGTTTTAAGGAAAAAATAGCCGTTTAAAAGAGAAGCATTTTTTTTTTTTTTAAATGGGACAGTTCCAGGAGTTGGCAGGCACCCCTGTGACTGGTAGAGCAGGAGGGAGCTGGATGAGTGGCCATTTTGTTCTGGGTTTGGCACTGTGGCGTTAACTCGGTCAGCCTGCAGTGACACTCCTGGTTGAGGCGAGCCTGTGTCCTGCCACGGGCTGTGAGACTCGGACGGATGGACAGCCTCATCAGAGAGTTTAAATCCTGGTCTCAAACCCCAGACCTTCCACGCTCCCTTCCTGCTTTCTCAGACCTTTCTGGAAAAGGAAGTTGTTGATGTTGGCTGCTTTTAAGCTGATCTTCAGTCTGTGCTACTCCTCACTTAGTGCCAAGCCCGATATTGGAGCACAAGAGGCTCTTTACTGAAGGCTGTTTATAGGGTTCTGGGGCCCTGACTGTGTGCAGCTGCTGAGCTGTTCTTCCTGAATGAACTCCTTGTTAACCTGGGACATTTAGAATATTGCTGTTTATTTTTTAAGATTTATTTTTATTGGCAAGACAGATATACACAGAGGAGGATCTTTCATCTGATGGTTCGCTCCCCAAGTGGCCACAACAGCTGGAGCTAAGTCGATTTGAATCCAGGAGCCCAGAGCCTCTTCTGGGTCTCCCATGAGGGTGCAGGGTCCCAAGGCTTTGGGCCGTCCTCCACTGCTTTCCCAGGCCACAAGCAGGGAGCTGGATGGGAAGTGGAACAGCTGGGATTAGAACCAGCGCCCATATGGGATCCTGGCGCGTTCAGGGCGAGGACTTAAGCCACTAGGCTGTGCTCAGCAGACATGTTCATTCTTCGCTGGCCACTGCCACGTCTGTTGCCACTGAGACTATCCAGGTCTCCCAGGCCTCGGACTTTAGATTGATGTTTTGTCAGTTTGAGTCCCAGTCACTCCGCTATCTGCTCCAGCTCCCTGCTCATGGCCTGGGAAAGCAGCCGAGGATGACCCAGTGTTTGGGCCCTGCTCCCATGTGGAAGCTGAGGATGAAGCCTGCTGGCTTTGGCATAGCTCAGCCCTGGTCGTTGTGGACATCTGGGGAGTGAGCCAGCCGATAAAAGATCTGTCTTTCCTACTCTTTGTGTAGCTCTGACTTCCAAATAAACGCATCCTTAAACATCTTTAAGCAGTTGTCAGATTTGTGCAGATGAATAGATTTTTTTTTCTTTTTTTTATTGTTATTAACATTGTATTATGTGATACAGTTTTATAGGCACTGGGGATTCCCCCCACCCTTCCCACAGATGAATAGATTTTTAATTCTATTTCTGTTGGACTAGCTGGGCAGGTAACTCTTGTATAGAAAGGTTTAGTTTACCTCATCTCAAAGAATCTTTTCACTTAGTCTTTTTTTTTTTTAATTAATTTTTACAAACGTTATTTACTTACCTAAAAGGCAGAATTGCAGAGAAAGGGACACACCTTTTACCCACTGTTGGTTCCCGTCTGTGGCTGCAGCCAAAGGCAGGAGCCTGGAATTCCACTGTGGGCACCCACGTGAGTGACAGGGGTCCCGGCACTTGGGCCATCTGCTGCTGCTTTTCTGGGTTATTAACAGGGAGCTGGATTGGAAGTGGAGCAGCTCCTGCTCCAATAGGCACCCATATGGGGTGCCAGCATTACAGGCGGCAGCTTTGCATGCTATGCCACAAGTAAGCTTTTGTTTTTGCCAGCAGTGGGAATCTAAGCGTTCTCTTGTCGCTTTCTTTTTGTTATTGATACATTGAACTTTGTTAGTGAATTTGGGAGACACTTGTGGGATTTTCTCTTTGGGGAAGAAAATACTTCTGTTTCAAGTCCTGACTTTCCTTTCAGGAGTTGTAGGATCCTCTGAAGACTCTCCTTGGATCTCAGGTTAAAATCTGTATTCTGGTGTGAACCGTGGGAAGAAGGAAGATTGGTGAGTCTTTGGCAAACGACAGTGGGGGTTGTTTAGTAATTACACATTCCTCCACATACTGGATTTACAGTGCCAAGCTGAAAGGGAAGCAAGCCAAGCTCCGAGTATTGTTTGGCTAATTTGGCAGCCTGCATCTACAGCACTGTGAGATGAGGCGTGGTGTGACTCATTGGGAGAGTTCTGTTGAAGGGTGAATTCACTTGTCTTTAGAGCCATGTCCTGGGCTTGCTTCATGGCCTGCAGGGGAGGGAGAGCTTGTGGTGGGGCTGGAGAGAGGAGTGAGACTTGGAGAGACCCAGGCACGGGAGGGAGCGCCAGCGCCTCGTGGTGGTGTAGAGGCTCCTTACCCAAGTGACAGCGCAGTGTGCTTTCCGTTTGCTCTCCTTCAGACACTTGCATTTGGAGCGCAGGTTTTATGGGAATAACCGTCCTTCTTGGCATTTGCTTGTTTTCATCTTTTACATATATATATATGTATATATATATTTATTTATTTTGGCCTATTCCGGTTATAGAAGTAGAATGTTACAAATCATTTTTTTCCCCAGCCTTTTTGCCTTTTACGTTTATGGTGCCTTTAATGTCTTAGCATTTATTTGAAAGGCACAGCAACAGACAGATCTTCCATCTGTTGCTTTACTCCCTCTGTAGCTGCAGCAGCTGGGTCCGGGGTAGGAGCCAGGGACAGCGTCTGGGCCTCTCCCATGGGCAGCAGGAGCCTAAGCACGCAGGTCATCCTCTTCTGCCTCCCCCTCCCCGCCAGGGGCGTCAGCAGGAAGTTGGGCTAGAGGCGGAGTAGCCAGGCCTTGAATTGTTAGCATTCTGATACAGGGGGCGACGTGACCCGCTGCCCCACTATGCCAGCCTGCCACGGAGCTTTCTGATATTTGAGCTGGCAGATTTACTTCTCATAGTGTCTGCTGTTGGTGTTAACCTCCTCCTGGCCCTCGCTTGTTCCCCTGCCTCTCCACACCTGTTCTTTTTCTTGGAGGTCAGTCCGCCTTGCCCCTCTCCAAGGACAGCCTGTGCAGGGCAGCTCCTTGTCCCTCGGTCTCCTCTGGCCTCCGGAGGGTGTCCAGCCCGTGCTGAGGGGGTGGACGCTCAGCAGGCACTGACTCCTGTCCCTAATGCGCGCTCTCTCTCTGGCTGTAGAAGGACACGATGTTTTCCAAACTAGCCTGCTTGCAGACTGTCGCCGTGCTCCGCAGAGGTGTTCATTCTTCACTGGCCTCTGCCACGTCTGTCGCCGCGAAAAAGACCGTCCAGGGCCCGCCGTCCTCGGAGTACATCTTTGAGCGAGAGTCCAAGTACGGCGCACACAACTACCACCCCCTGCCCGTGGCCCTGGAGCGGGGAAAGGGTACGTTGCCGGGATCCACCTGCCTCGAAGCCCCTTCCAGGGAGGGCTGCCTGCTGGGCGTTTCCCGGACGTGCTGACTGCTGCGGCTGCGGTTTCTCCAGCTGCTGTGTTGGGTGCAGAGGGGCCATGGAGATGAACTCCGTCTGTCCAGTCCTGGGGCCCTGAGAGGGACCTTGAGAAGAGCAGGGAAGTCCTACACCGCAGCCCTCACTGTTTTGTCTTTTAGCCTGTGGCGTAATTTTAAGTGTAAATGAAGAGATGTTGTAACAGAGGACTACAAGCTTTCTGTTACTCTTCACCCAGATTTCCCCAATGCTAGCATCTTACTATTCTTGCTTCATTATGTTCCCTTTCTTCTCTGCCCCCAGCCCTCCGAGCATACATTTCCACATAAAAACATGGTGTGTGTTTCCTGAAACACAAGGGCTTTTTCTTTTAGCATGGAAGTGTAATCATCAGAGTCAGGAGGTGACAGTGCCACAGCTCCCTCGTGTAGCCTCCGGGACTGCTCCAGATCTCATTCCTTGTGCTTGCTGAGGGAGAAGTTCTAGCATGTTCTAAGTTCTGCCATCAGGGCTGGAATGGGCGGGGGGAGCCAGCAAGAAAGCCAATTCCGCATTTCTTACTGTGGTCCAAACCTCCAGGACCCCCAAGTGAGCGGCCAGCTTCCAGCGCCAACCAGCAGATCTGCAGCAGCAAGTGCTGCCGAGGTCCTCCCGTGGGACCCTGCCCGCCCTCTCCTTGGCAGCAATGGAGTCTGGAGTAACGTGCCTCCTTATCTTGGCTTTTGTTATAAAAATATCCTTCGCTGTAGAGCCGGCACCCACCTTTTCAAATTCTAGCTAGCTATGCTGCTGACAGCTAGGGGAACTTGTCCCAGGGCCCCAGTGCTGTTTGGCCAGCATCCGGTAGGGCTTAATGAGCCCTTGCCTTCCGGATACCCCTTAATTGTAAGAAGTTTGTTCCTCAGTGACAGCAGAAGAAAACCCTGGAATGTGAATTGCACCCAGTGGTCAGGCCCTGTGATCCTCCATTTAGAACAGTTCCTCCATCTTTCTCTGCATTCTTGATCCTGGATGGTTTTGAAGTACGCAGGGCAGTAGTTTTGTAGAATCCATCGCAGCCTGAGCTTGCTGCTGTTCCCTGTGCTGCCCACACGAGTCCCTTCAGGAGCCTGGCTCTCTGTTTGTTCCTGCTGTTGCTCACCTCCGTCCCTTGCTGGCATGGGGCCTGCCTGGCTGTCCATCCGTGGAGTCCCTGTGCTCCCCCTGAGAGCAGGTGTCCAGAGGGACAATTTGAAACTTGGCAAAGGCCTTGCTCACGGTTCCAGCATCTCTTGGTGATTCCGGATTCTTGCTCACACTGATGGTTGCCAAATGGTGACTTAAACTACATTTTGAAATAACAGCTTCATCCAAATAAAACCACAGTTTAATTACTTAGCTCAGTGCCAGAAGATGACAATCTGAGTATTACACATTCTTGTTAATTGCCTGTGTTTTGTGTGGGGCCTGTTACTATCGCATAGACTTAACTCCTGAACAAGCAGAAATCTGGGTTTACAAAAGTGGAGGGACTTCTTTGACAGAAGTAATTCCTCACCTGTGTTAGTGAAGTGTGGGCCCTGTGGGTCCGCTGCTGGGCTCCAGGTCTGCCCCCAAGTGCCCGTGTGGGCTAGTTGCTCATCCAAGCTTTCATCGGGGGTTCTGATGAGCTCAGGTGGGAAAGAATCTAACGCTGTGTGGTACGTGGGAAAAGGGTGGCATCGCCAACGCTTCCCCCAGTGCATTTTTTTTTAAGACTTATTTTTATTGGAAAGTCAGATATACAGAGAGGAGGAGAGACAGAGAGGAAGATCTTCCATCCGATGATTCACTCCCCAAGTGAGCACAACGGGCCGATACTATGCCGATCCGAAGCCAGGAACTTCTTCCGGATATCCCACATGGGTGCAGGGTCCCAAGGCTTTGGGCCATCCTCGACTGCTTTCCCAGGCCACAAGCAGGGAGCTGGATGGGAAATGGAGCTGCCGGGATTAGAACTGGTGCCCATATGGGATCCCGGTGCATGCAAGGCGAGGACTTAAGCCGTTAGGCCATGCCGCCGGGCCCCCCCACTCAGTGCATTTTAATGTCTGTGGTCAGTGGTCTTGTTAGCAGTTATGAAACATCTGCAGTATGCTCTTCCCTAATGAAGTATCCAGTGGCACTAAGTGCATTCCCTGTGCAGCCGGCAGAAGGAAGCCAACTCGGCCATCCGCACGCCCTCCTGCTCACGGCCTAGTGCAGCCACTCAACTGATTGCTTTCTATCTCAGATTTTTCTTGCGATTCCTACAGATATTTTCTCTCTATTCTCTCTTTTTTTAAAGATGTATTTATTTTTATTGGAAAGTGAGATATAGAGAGGAGAGATAACTGCTTTCCCAGGCCACAAACAAGGAAATGGAAGGGAAGTGGATCAGCCAGGACACAAACCGATGCCCATATGGGATCCCAGCACATGTAAGGCTTTAGCCACTAGGACAGCATGTCAGGCTTGCATGTATATATTTTTTAAAGTTTTTGGCTATAAACTGAACACAGAATTCTCATAACTCAGTAATTTCTACTCCTACGTAGGAACATAGACAAAATAGCTGGAAGTCATACATTTGAACCAGAAAAATTCCAGTATTCGCAGTAACGCTATTCACAAAAGCTGGAAGATAAAAAACAGCTCAGATGTCAGCAGCTGAGCCGTGGTGACCCAACGGTGACCCAGGCCACAGGGGAACATCACTCAGTCACTAAAGGAGGTGTGACACCTGCTACAGTGTGAATCAATCTTGAAGACCTTAGGCTAAATGAAAGTTAAAAAAAAAATCACACAGTACAGATCCCACTAAAGAAAGAATTATCTATAAGAATAGAAGGCCCGGCACAGTAGCCTATTGGCTAAGGTCTTCACCTTGCAAACGCCCATATGGGCACCAGTTCTAATCCCAGTAGTCCTGCTTCCCATCCAGCTCCCTGTTTGTGGCCTGGGAAAGCAGTTGAGGACAGCCCAAAGCCTTGGGACCCTACACCAATGTAGGAGACCCAAAAGAGGCTCCAGGCTCTTGGCTTCGGGTTGGATCGTTGTGGCCACGTGAGTGAACCAGGGGATAGATCTTTCTCTGTCTCTGGTTCTCCATGTAAATCTACCTTTCCAATAAAAGTAAATAAATCTTAAAAAAAAAAGAAAAATATGGACCCAGCACAGTAGCTTAGAGACCCCTTGCCAGTTTGTGTCCTGGCAGCCCTGCTTCCCATCCAGCTCCCTGCCTGTGGCCTGCGAGGGCAGGGCGGGATGGCCCCCACGCATCACAGGGAGTATGAAGTGTGTACCTCATTGTGCTTTGGGTTTGTATCTCACTAATGTCTCATGTCGACTATCTTTCATGCTTATTCATCTGCTTGGGTGTCTTTGGAGAAGTATCCAGCTTCTCTGGCTATTTTTATATTCAGTAATTTATCTATTTGTTGAGTCATTACATTTCTGGATACTGGATCGCTGTAAGAACACGATCCAAGGGGCTGGCACTGTGGCATACTGGGTTAAGCCTGCGGCACCGGCATCCCCTGTGGGCACTGCTCGGGTCCCCTCTGTTCCATTTCTGATCCAGTGCCTTATGTGCTGGGATGATAGCCCCCATGCCGACGTGGGAGGCTGGGAGGAAGTTCCCAATCACTGTGGCCAGTTGGGGAGTCAACCTCTGCCTTTTATAAAAACAAAGATTATGATTTGGAAATGTTTTATAGCCTACATGAATGTTTGTATCTGTTACACGTAATTTCCCTACTTCTAAATTCTAGTGTTGGCTCCTAAATGTTAGTTAGGTAAAGGTTTCATTTCAGAGGTCATAGTATGTGTGCATATTTATGCAACTCTTGTTAAAGCTTTATTTCAAAGAGATGGGGGAATTGTCTGCGACAGCTGTGGCTTTACCCTGGCCTTCGGCTCTGCAGTGCAGCCCTCTGCGTGGGCTCCTAGACCTCACAGAGTGAGCTGTCTCCTGCGTGGGCGCCTAGACCTCACTGTGTGAACCACCAGCAGCAAGTGGATGTGGGAGCAGAGCGGGGCATTGAACCCTGCACTCTGACCTGCAGTGCTGGTGTACCTGGAGATGTCCTGACTGCTGCACCCCACGCCTGTCCTGCTGTTTGCGCTAAATGTGCATGTTGAAACTGAGTAGTTGGAATGGGAGTCTTAATAATCCCTCAGAAATCAATGCCTGCTGCTCCTCTCCTCCGTTGTGTGTGTTAGGTGTCTACGTGTGGGATGTGGAAGGCAGGAAATACTTTGACTTCCTGAGTGCTTACAGTGCTGTCAACCAAGGGCACTGTCACCCCAAGATCGTGAGTGCCCTGAAGGTGCAGGCGGACAAGCTGACCTTGACGTCCAGGGCTTTCTATAACGACGTCCTTGGTGAATATGAGGAGTATGTAACGAAGCTCTTCAACTACCACAAAGTTCTTCCCATGAACACAGGTGAGGAGTTTGTGTGAGACAGAGAGGGAGAGGGAGCAAGAGAGACACTCCAGGCTGCCTTCGTCCACTCTGTTGTAAACCTGGAAAATGGCCCTTGCTGCAGGGGTGGAGGCTGGAGAGACTGCCTGTAAGATTGCTCGGCGCTGGGGCTACACGGTGAAGGGGATTCAGAAGTACAAAGCCAAGATTGTCTTCGCAGGTACGTGAACAGACGGGATCAAAAGCTGGTTTAATTATGATACCTTATTTGCTAAAGGTTTCATTAACCTGCATGAGCGGGGTGGGCATTGTGGCTTAGCAGGGTAAGCCGGTGCCTGGGATGCCAGCATCCCACATAGATGCCAGTTTGTGTCCTGGCTGCTCTACTTCCGATCCAGCTGTCTGCTGACGTGTGGGAAGGCAGCTGAAGATGGTTCCACCTGAGGGACTCTGACGGAGCTCTGGCGTTGAGCCTGGCCCAGCCCTGGCTGTGTGGCTGTCTGGGGAGTGAACCAGGGGATGTAAGATTTCTTTCCTCCTCTGTTTCTCCCTTTGACTCTGGAACTCTGGCTTTCAAATAAATAAGCAAACATGTCTTTTGAAAAAAAAAATAATGAGGGGCTAGCATGGTGGACTAACAGGCTAGTCTTCTACCTGTGCTGCTGGTATCCTCTGCGGGCATCGGTTTGAGTCCGGGCTACTCCACTTTTGATCAGCTCACTGCTCATGACCTGGGAGAGTGGCAGAGGTTGGCTCAGGTCCTGGGTTTCCTGAATGCATGTGGGAAGCGCAGAAAGAAGCTCCAGGCTCCTGGCTTCGATTCGGCTCAGCTCTGGCCATTGCAGCCATTTGAAAAGTGAACCAGTGGTTGGACGATCTCCCTGTGTCTCTCACTGTCTTTCTCTGTAAACCTGCATTTCAAGAAAAAATGAATATATAAACCTTAAAAAAATAATAAGGTGCTTCCAGGCCGTGGGTTTTTTCTAAGTTATTTCTTTGTAGCTGGTGAACTACTTCTTTCCTAACTTTTTACCTCCCTTCTCCCCGATGTGAAATGAATGGCTGTAGGATTTAATTTCTCCTCTACCAAGCTTCTTCATGGCAGTTTCCCAGCTAGTTAGATGGCCTTCCAGTGGAGGTTGTTTTGTTGGTGCTGGGACTGGGTTGTGTCTTAGGGCTGTGTCCTTGATGTGGTGTGACTGGCCCTTGAGTTTTAGCAATGAACACTGCAGGTGCTTTGTTTTTGTAAGAAGTTGTTGGCAGTGTTGTGGTGTAGTAAGTTAAGCCACTGCTGGCAGTGCCAGCCATTTGGGGAGTGAACCAGCAGGTGGAGTATCTCTCTCTTACTGTCTCTCCCTCTCTGTAGCTCTGCCTTTCGGAATAAATAAATAAATAAATGTTAAAAAAAAAATGAAGCTATTTGGAAGAGGAGCCTTGGAGTGGTCCTCGTCAGCTCCCTGGGGCGAGCAGAGAGAGGAAGATCTTCTGGCCATTGATTCACTCCCCAAGCCAAATGGCTGCAATGGCAGGAGCTGTGCTGATCTGAAGCCAAGAGCCTGGAGCCTCTCCCAGGTCTCCTATGTGGATGCAGGGTCCAAAGTGTTTGGGCCGTCCTTGACTGCTTTCCCAGGCCACAAGCAGGGAGCTGGATGGGAAGTGGGGCTGCCGGGATTAGAACTGGTGCCCATAGGGGATCCTGGTGAGTGCAAGGCGAGGACCTTAGCCATTAGGCTACCAAGTGTTGATGGAATTAGGGGGCTTCCTTGCAATAATCACTGGTTGTTTTTGCTTCCCAGCTGGAAACTTCTGGGGTCGGACACTGTCCGCCATCTCTGCCTCCACGGACCCCTCCAGCTACGATGGCTTCGGGCCGTTCATGCCAGGCTTTGAGGTCATTCCCTACAACGACCTGCCTGCCCTTGAGGTACGTGCTGGGGCCCCGGTGCTGGGCTCAGTGCTCATAGAAGCTGAAGCTGTGAATACTTGCACAAGGATTAAAAACACACTTAACACCTATGAAACTGTGGTTTACGTAAGTTAAGCCAAAGTTTCACAGTGTTCTGTGAGCTGATCTTTAAATCAGCCAGCCATGTGAGATGTGTCTTTCAGATCAGTTGACTTTGATCAATATTCCTTAATTACCAGACAAGATTTCTCAGTCTTCTGCTACTTTTTACAGAAACAGGGCAGAACGTTACCAGCCTGCAGGTGGTGTTGAGGGCCATCCCCTTAGGCTGTATCCCTGATGTGGGGTCCTGCAGGTGGTGTTGAGGGCCATCCCCTTAGGCTGTATCCCTGATGTGGGGTCCTGCAAATGGCAGCAGATTGGTGCCTCTGGTGGATGACTGTCCGTGACAAAGGTTATACCGGTGGAGTCAGAATAGGCTGGTGCAGACTTTATTTGCGTAGCCTGTGATTCAGGTGGGCATGCAGGAGGAGGAAACTCAACGAACCATCTCCCTGTTCCCTCTGTAGCGCGCCCTGCAGGACCCTAATGTTGCCGCATTCATGGTGGAGCCCATTCAGGGCGAAGCAGGTGTCGTGGTTCCGGACCCCGGTTACCTGGTGGGCGTGCGGGAGCTGTGCACCAGGCACCAGGTAGGCCATGTTAGCTGCTGTGTGATGAAGGTCTTACCCAGCCCCCCACATCTTTGGGTCCTGCATGTGGTGTCAGTGCCGGGGATCCCCTCTTCATTAGGTTGTGGGGGACACCTTCCTAAGAGCTGGAGGACTTCCTGGTGCTTGGGGATCTGTGTGCCAGCCGGAGCTGAATTAATTTGTTCCCAGAGGCTAGTGAGCTGCTGGGGCGGTCCCCCAGCCTGTGGGAAGCATCTTCCGGCCGGGTGGAGCAGTGTGAAGTGCTCCAGTGTAGCCGTCTGCCCTGCCACAGGCATGGGTCTCCCCCAGCAGAAGCGTGTGAGGGCCTGCCGTGTGTCAGGCTGCACAGTGGACGCCAGGATGACGGGTGACCGTCCTGGTGCCCTGGTGGCAGTCAGCGAGGCCCAGAGCCCGAGGGGGCATGTCAGAATCGCATGTTTGTCCTGGGGCTTGGATGGGGTAAAGTGAAGGGGCTGTTTGCCCTGTGGAAACGAACGTGCTTAGCGATGATATTGCTCTGTTTGCCAATAGGTCCTGTTTATTGCTGATGAAATTCAAACAGGCCTGGCCAGGACCGGTCGGTGGCTGGCTGTGGACTACGAAGACGTGAGGCCTGACATTGTGCTCCTGGGGAAGGCCCTGTCTGGTGGCTTATACCCTGTAAGTGCCACTCATCCTTGCTTGCCCTGACCCTCAGGAGTGAGCCTCGGCGGGGGTGGGGGGGTGGGGGGGAGTTTGCTCACCAACTGGTTGTGGCAGGGATGCCTAGCAGCAGGTGGTCAGCTCTTGCCAGGTGCGTGGCAGGTCCTCTGAGCCATCAAATGCCAGCCCTCTGGGCTGCAGGGTGTGCTCCACGTTACTTCCAACTGAGGAGTTGAGCGCACCTCGGGATCTACCAGGGCATGGAATTTGAGTGGAAACATTTTTCCTTGAAAGTGTCCCTGTGCATCCTGTCCTTTGTCCTGGCGTTCAGGGCCATGGCATTACTAATTGTTCCCAGTGATGACCGGCGACGCTCGAGGGGAGGTGAAGGGATGCCATGATGTTGTGTTCTGTTTGCCACTGGAGCACCCCGCGCATGTTAGCGTTGCCGCGGTGCTGAGCGGAGGGAGGCTCAGGCCGGGCTGTCTTGCAGGTGTCTGCGGTGCTGTGTGATGACGACATCATGCTGACCATCAAGCCTGGGGAGCACGGCTCCACGTACGGGGGCAACCCGCTCGCCTGCCGCGTGGCCATCGCAGCGCTCGAGGTAAACAGCAGCGGCCGTGTGGCAGCTGCCTCTCCAGGCAGAGCTGGAGTAACTTTTAGTGTGGTCCACCTGGTGCGGGAAGGAATTTGGTAAAACTGCCAAGTATTCAAGAACATGAGTCACCCAGGAAGGATTCCAGGGGCACAAGGGAACCGCAGCCTCACCATGCCAAATTGTGGTTGCCGGGGCTCTGGCGCGCTGGCTGGTACCTGCAGATCTGACACCCCCGCTGCCTGGGACCACCAAGGCTTTTTATTATGGGTGGATTTTGAATGTTCTGAATTCCTGCTGAAGTCTATTGAAGAATGGAGTTTTTAAGGGAAAATATTACTTTGTTGCAGTTTAAAAATCATATTAATTCTAGTGATGTGTTCAACATAACAGTTGCAGTAAACAAGTTTTAAATTTAAGTTTGCCATGAAGACAGAGTAACAGCAGACTTGTGATGCAAGCCGGCTCAGAGGGAGTGTGTCTGGTTGGCAATTAGCCCCCAGGGGCCACACTGGCAAGAATGAGAATGGCCTGCCCGGTTGCATGCAGTCACTCTCCCAGGAGCAATGGCAAAGGACCGGTGTTCACCGGGCTGTGATGTTTCTCTGCTGTAGGTTTTGGAAGAAGAGAATCTTGCAGCCAACGCGGACCAGATGGGTGCCCTCCTGAGAAATGAGCTCATGAAGCTGCCTTCCGACATCGTGACTGCCGTGAGAGGGAAGGGCTTACTGAACGCCATCGTTATTAGAGACACCAAAGGTACGTGCCGAAATGAAACATGTTGCTAGTACAGTGCTTTCTGCAGCATTGCTGTTGACACCTGCTTGATTTAGAGTTAAGTGTGTCAGAGCTCTGGCTCTCTCTTGCATGGTGGCACTGGGAGCTAATCGGGCCTGGTTCTGCTCCTATAAGGTCCGGCTTGGGCCTTAGCCTTCGGATGCCCCATCGTGCACAGGTGCCTGTCTCCCCACGTGTGATGCCAGGTGTTCTGGATGAGGGCTGCTCGGCCTGTGCCACAGCTGCCTTGGCATGTGCTGGGGAAAGGCCGCACTGCTGTCCTGTTCCGACCTGCCCGTGTGCTTGCTGGAAGCCAGCAGGGCTTCATGGTGAGGCTGAGAGCAAAGCGAGCCTGCAGCTTGGGCACCCTTCCCCCCTCCCTCCCAGCCTTCCTTTTGTCTTTACTTCCTCTCTTTTAGATTTATTTATTTTCATTGGAAAGGTGTATTTACAGAGAGAAAGAGATAACGAGAGAAAGCTCTTCCATCTGCTATTTTGTTTCCCAAATGGCTGCAATGGCTGGTGCTGAGCTAAGCTGATCTGAAGCCAAGAGCCAGGGGCTCTTCCTGTGTCTCCCATATGGGTGCAGGGTCCTGAGGCTTTGGGCCATCCTCCACTGCTTTCCCAGGTTGTAAGCAGGGAGTTGGGTGGGAAGTGGAGCAGCCAGGACATGAACCAGTGCCCATATGGGATTTTGGCGCTGGAGGTAGAGGATTAGCCAGTTGAGCCCCTGCACCGGCCCCGTGGAGCACCATTTCTCTAGCAGGTTTGGGATTCTGTCCCACCCGTGCAGCAAGGGGGTGTGCGACCGTTTTTCTGCAGATTATGATGCCTGGAAGGTGTGTCTGCGGCTTCGAGACAACGGGCTTCTGGCCAAGCCGACCCACGGCGACATCATCAGGCTTGCGCCGCCCCTGGTGATCAAGGAGGACGAGATTCAGGAGGCGGTGGAGATCATCAACAAGACCATCCTGTCCTTCTGAGGTGCCACGTGCCACGCTGTCCCCGAGCCGGCAGGGGCCAGGACGGCTGTGCCACGGCGCCGGCGTTCCACTCCGTGTGTGCTCAAAGACTGCGGAATGCGTGTGTTTCGGTGTTTTCTAGCTGGCAGGCTGACGTGCGTGAACTTGCAGTTTGCTGTGCATCTGAGGATGCTGTGGTCTACAGTCGGCTAGGTGTCCGCGCATGCACTTTGTAAGGCGGAATGTAGGTGGCCTTGACTCAAGTCCTTTTCATAATTTATATACGTTTTTACAACTTGTCGGCTGGTACAGATGTTTTCTGTATGAGAAAGGGGTCCCTGGAGTGTTGCGTGGAACTTGCCCCATGTGTTGTGTGGACTCCATGCAGGAAGGGTTGGTGACGGGCCCTGGCTTTCCAGCAGTCCGCTTCTGGAAACTGCGGCTGGCCGACAGCAGACTGTTCTGTCAGCATCCTGGGCTTCAGTGTGAAGAATCAGTCCTGAGTTACACTCATGCTTGGTTACTCTGTAACAACACATTTTTTTCCCCCAGCATTTCTTTACATTTACAATAAAGCTTACCTGTAACACGTGTGTAGGCTGTCCCTGTGGTCTGACCAGGCACTTGTCGCTTCTGCGCTTGGGCTCTATTCCATGTGTGCCCCAGCCCATGCCAGCTTCCTTCTGTAATCCGCAGAAGAGACGCGATGCAGAGTACAGGGTGGATGTCGCTCCCTGCTCAGCGACGCCTTTCCTGGGCACACACCGACATTTGTCGTGGTGGTAGAAGTTTTCCATTGTGTTTTTCTGCTTTTACTCTGAGTATTTTGAATGTTCTTCTGTGTCAGTAATTAGTTTGTCTTTTCATTTTTAAGGGATTGTCGAATTTTTCTTTGAAAGGCAGGTTGACAGATCATTCATCTGCTGGTCCCAATGACCAGAGCTGACCCAATCCAAAGCTAGGAGCCAGGAGCTGCTTCTGGGTCTCCCGCGTGGGTGCAGGGCCTCAAGGCCTTGGGCCATCCTCCGCTGCTTTCCCAGGCCACAAGCTGGGAGCTGGAAGTGCAGCAGCTGGGATGCCGGCGCTCGCAGGAGGAAGATTAGCTGATTGAGCCACTAGCCCCAGTTTCTCTTTCTCGTGACTGATGTTTCACGTGTGGATATATTCACATTTCCTCTCAACAGGGGACCCTGTTTTTCATGTTTCTATCTCTGTGCAGTGAATGGTGTGAATGCTTTTATTTTCTGTAAAATTGTGTGTGCTTTCCTTTGTGCGTGTGTGGAAATTGTTTTTGTGTAATGAATCCCCATCTGTTCAAATGAATAATACAGTGCAGTCCCTATAGGAAAAACTCTTTAAAACTGTTTCAAGACTTCCTCCCCTGCATGAACGGAGGCTCAGAGGAGCGTTATTCGCTCTGCAGCCTCTGGCTTGATTGACTTGCAAATGAGCATTTTCTCCCTTACTGCATTAGCTCAGGCCCTGAAACAGTGAGACAGTGCATCCTAGGCTCAGTGATTCACAACAGTCGGCCTAAGCTCGGGGCCGGGGGTCAGGCCGGGGTGGAGGCCAAGGTGGGGGTGAAGGGCAGTTTCCTCTGGAATCACTGCAAGAAGGGCAGGTGCAAGGGGCGCACTGTCCCGGGAGCTCAGCCCTCCGCTCAGGAGGAGCAGAGGCTCCTATGCCCCGCTGCCTGGGGGGGGGTGGGGGCCCAGCTCCAGGGTTGTGCCTTCCCACCAAGGGGCAGGGGGATGCACGGCCCTGGGCTGGAAGCGAGAGTGTGGAGACTTTGTCAGAATGTGCATGTGAAAGGAGACTTGGTCCTGCAGGGGAAATGTGCCCACGTGTGGCTCCAGCCTTCCGTTGTTTTTCCTTACACAGTGTGTTCCCTTGGGTAATCTAATGCACATCAGGGAAATCCACAGACAAGAAGTGAAGGTGCTAGTAAGACCCCCTTTTATGTCTTTAAAAGTAATTTTGGGGGGGCTATCGTGGCACCGTGAGTTAAATTGCTGACTGTGATGCCAGATCCCATTTTGTTGGGCTATGGGTTCGGGCCTGTTTCGTAGGTTCTTGCCTCTTTAAACATATTTTAAGTGCAGGCACTGACACAGCTTAAGCAAGTGGTCAGGTTTATTCACATGAGGAATACAGACACATGTGGGCCATATTCAGGGACAGTGAGCTAAGAAGGGAGAAGGTGGAGAGATTACTGCCTTCCGGGCTTGGAGTCTGTCATGGGAAGCAGTAGAGCAGGTGGATATGTGCGAGGCTGAGGGCCCAAGCACGTTAGTGATAAAGTGACCAACGGCAAGAGGGCCCGTGGGGCTTTCAGGGGTCTTGGAGGGGGGTGATTATGCAACAAAGTCCCCACCTTGGGTTCCAGGTCATGATGGGTAAGTGTCACCTGACTCATAGGTGGGCAGTAAGGGTGGTATGGCTTCTGAATTAGTTGCCTGTATAGACCACGTCAATGTCAGAACACTGGTGCAGGTCCCGGCTGCTCCACTTCTGTTCCAGCTTCCTGCTAACGTGCCTGGGAAGGCAGTAGATGTTCAAGTGCCTGGTTTCGTGCCATCGCTGTGGGAGACCCGGATGGACCTTTTGGCTCCTGGCTTCCTCCCTATATAGCCCTGGTGGTTGTGACCAGGCGGGAAGACATTGATTGGAAAGGTGGGGTGGGGTGGAGACCTCGCTGGTTCAGTGCTTGCAACAGCCAGGGCTGAGCGTATCAAGTTTGCAGGGCGTCGTCTTGGTGGTTTGCTTTCCCAAACAACAAACATCCCACTGGTCTTGACATCATCTACCTGCACTCAGTTTCTTCAGGTTTGGGGGTTCATATCCAACGGCCTAATGAGTTCTCAGGCCTCAGTGGCCTAACAGGATCTAACTAGCATCATAAACTGTTGCTTAGCCCACTTCACCACAACACTGTGCCCTCTGCTGCCTTCTTTCTTAGAGATCCTGAGTGTCAAGTCTTGTATCCATCAACAAGACAGAAATAATTGCTTCTGGGGGTGAATTCAAAATATGCCTGTGAGTGAACCCCTAAAATGTAAAGGTAGGCCCCAGTCTCCCCCGCTCAGCTCTAGCTGTCCTTGACCGTCCTTTGCCAAGGGGCATTCCCTGTACTGAGGGCGCAGGACAGTGGATGCCACAGGTTCTAGCTGCTCAGCAGTTCTAACCCCCAGGAGTCAGCAGTTTTTCTAATGAGGTCCTGCTGCTGGTGCTGTCTGGAGGAGTTCGTGTAGGGCAACAGGTACAGGCAGGGCAACTCCAGGTCTGGGGCCGAGGTGAACGCCCCCGTTTACATGTAGCTCCCCAGACCCATGGGAGCCAGTCTGGCCGCCATCACAAAGTCCCTAGAGGGCCTGGCATTCACCGACCAATCAGAAGGAAGGTCGTGAGCTGCATCGGCCAACCGGGAACTTGTGCCCCAACTGGCGGTGCCCTTGTCCGCCCCAGGTTCAGTCTGGGGAGCCTGGGGATCCAGCAGCAGCTTCCTGCCTCCTGGCTCTGGGCTGTGCAGGCACCTCCTCTCCCACAGGTGCATCCACTCGACCACTAAAACGATGTCACACACCAGTGACAGTGACAAACAGCTCTAATTACAACGAGATACAGCAACCAACTGACCCTTATCAGTGCGGCCCCCAACAGCTCATTCAGAGTGTTTATAGGGGCAGCTGACAATGGCTTACACGTTGTAGCAGGAGAGGAGGTGCTGTGTGTTCCCTGCCTTTCTGCTGGGCAGCCTGTGCCCGTCTCCCCTCCAGTCCAGCAGTTCCCGGATAACCAGACCCAGGCCCTGATGCCATCCGTGAGACAACCCGACTCGGATCTGAATTCCTGGGAACTGGAACATTCATGCTGAAGATCACATAGCATGCTCGGCCGGCAAGCCTACAACAGTCTTGTACAATTTCATAGCCAATCAAGCAACGCAGGAGTTAGACAATGGAGAAGTATTACAGTTAGCAATGAGCCGTGTTTACTCCATTTTGATTTCATTTCTATACTACCATCCCAATGCCCGTTACTGGCTTGTTATGCGCGGGGCAAGCGGACTCAGGTTTGGGGGTTCTACAGCAACTCCGGCTGGTTTGGGGTGGTAGCGGTGGACATAAGAAGGGTGACTTGGGGGCTGGCACCCTGGTGTAGGTTTGCTTCTGCCCCAGGAATCTTAGCACCGAATAGGGTCCATTGCCAATGTTACCAGGCTGGAACATAGAGCTGGACACTCAGAAAAGAGTCTGCCCACCGGCGCCCCCTGTAGACTGGGGGGCGGTGTGGGAGCTGGGTGATCCCTTGCAAGTGTTTCAGAGGGTCCTCAGAAAACAACCATCACCTCTGGCGAGCCACCATTCCCGGCCTCAGGTTTTAACATCTCGCGACTCAGTTTCCCTGGTTAAGGAGACTCCGTGTCTGCGGAGAGAGGCTTCGTGCCCCGGGTCGAGGACAGGTGCCAACCGAGGGCCACCGAGGGCCCCGCATCAGCAGCCCGGGCCGGGTGAAGTCGGTCCCGGCGCCTCGCAGGACCCGGGCCTGCGTGCGTGTGGCCGGCAGGGGGCGCTGCCGGCAAAGCGTGGCCGGCCCGGGAGCCCGCCGGGCGCGCTTGCGCAGGCCGGGGGCGGGGCTTCGGCTGTGCGGCTTCGGCTGTGCCGGGTGAGGCGACTGGGTGAGGCGACAGGTGGGACTGGTGAGCGTGAACCCCGGGGCCCAGGCAGCCTGCCCTGGCGCCAGCCGGCTCCGACAGGGGGCCCGGCTGGGAGCCACATCTCCCCGTCCCGTGTGCTCCTGTCCGCCCACCTGTTGGTCACATACCCCATTCCTAGGATGCGCCTTCACCTGGACTCCCCAAATTCAGAGCCCCTAACCTCCCACCCTGGGTGACTGTCCTGGCCCTGTTGTTTCTTGAGACGATGCATATCTGGAATCCCATCATCGCCCCTGTTCAAGCCAGTGCCTAGGCCTGGACGGGGCGGCGATGGGCGTGGGCGGCTGCGCTAGGCCGGAGCCAGAGGTCCCCCCACACCTGGCGTGCAGAGCTAGCGGCTGGCTCCCTCGGGGAGGAGGGGAGCGGCTGGGTGGGTGGGGGGCTGTGCTGGGTCCTTGGCCCTACCCAGGGCTGCCTCTGCCTGGGACTGCCCCAACCTGTCTCTCCCAGCATCTCAAACTGCTGGGCACTCTGGCCCACCCAGGTTTGGTCCACACATGGGAGTCCTGGTGGCGCCCTGACACAGGGTCACTGGTACTGAACGACACAGGGACCCCGTTAGCAAGCCTGAGAGGAGACGGGCTGGTCCTGGACCCATAGCGTGGGTCTTTTTATTTTTTATGATTTATTTAGAAATTCATTTATTTTAATTAGAAAAGCAGGTTTACAGAGAGAAGAAGGCAAGACAGAGAGAAAGATCTTCCATCTGCTGGTTCACTCCCCAAATGACTGAAACCAGAGCTGGGCTAATCTGGAGCCGGGTCCCAAGGCCTTGGGCTGTCCTCAGCTGCTTACCCAGGCCAAAAGCAGGGAGCTGGATGGGAAGTGGAGTAGCCTGGACACGAACTGGCGCTCACATGGAATGCCCAT